TTTGATACTATAACTTTACACAAACATTGAGGAAATAGTTACTCTTATTTTTCTGCCTTAGGATCTTCGGGAGGGGGGGTCTGCTGCTTTCGACGGAAGACAAATTCCAAGGAGCTTAAAACCAAATGGTGTTCTTTTTGTTGTAATCAATAGATGAGGCAAATCCGTTTGACATTGAGACGAAACTGCCCGACCAAAAAGACTCCGGGATGGACCAGGATGCTGTGGACGAAAAGGAAGATGGTGAGGAGCGTGAAGAAGGGAACCAAGACGAAGGGGACCAACCGAGCGAACCCAGGATGGAGGAAGGTGGGGAGGGGGCAGAGGACGAGAGCGGAGGGGAGGAGGATGCGGGGAGGGACGATCGGGAGGACGGAGATGGAGAGGACGCTGATGAAGCGGATGGGGATCAGAAGGGAGGGGTAGGGTTGGAGCCACAGGTGAGATGTGGGCAGAAACAGCCCGGTTTCATGGCGTCTTTGATCGTTTGGTTGAACTTGGGCAAAACACAAGGATGCCTTCCTTTGTTCCCATTGACAGTTAAGCAGCGATCAGCATGTTCAGCTCGTGATGTGAGAGTTTATTCATCACTGACGCTAGCACAACTGGATCAAAATTAGTATCAGCTTTTCAAGGATAGATGATTGAGCACATTTTTCAAGACTGCAGTTCAAAGATTGATATTTGTCACAGGAAAATATTCTAAATTAAGTACGAAGTATTGCAATAAATTAAACATGAATTCTTCTTTTTGGACTGTTTGGTGTAGTGTAAGTAACTTAAGGATTCTGTTCAGTCTGCAACTGCAGTTAAGGATTTTCTACTGGTGTAAAAGTTCCAACTACCGATTGAACTTTCCCCTCTAGTTCTGATGATTTCTTGGCAAACAATCACCAAATGAGCTCCAGCATTTTCTTCTTGGCATGTTTTTCTGTTTTGCAGGAAGATGATGATGAACCCATACCAGAAGACTCCAGTGCAGACTACCAACCGGATCGGGCACACCTTCCACAGGCCATGCCGGAACCGGCCGAGAACTACGGGAGATCGCAGGAGAAGACGGAGACGGTGCAGGAGCAGGTCGCCCAGGAGGAGGCTGGGAAATCAGAGGAGGAGAAGAACAGAGGGGTAGAAAAGAAAGTCGACTATTTGTCCAGTTCAAGAGAAAGAGAGTTATTTTCTTTACTGTAGAACCTCTTACTGTGCCTTCAAAGCTTCAACCATTTCAAATACTGCAGTTGATTCAATTCTAATAACAGCTTACGGTTGACTTGGGCTGGTTTCGGAATTTGAAACCAGGAATGGAACCAAGTTCTGAAAATCTAGTCACTCAAACTTTTAAGTTCTATTTGTTGGACAACAGTGCCCATCTCAAGGATTTCTTTCACCCATTTAAAAGTCTACATTTCATTGTTTGCTGATTTTTCGATTCCTTAACAGAAAGAAAATGTTGGCAGTGCCGAATCCTCTCTCAAGGAGGGCCACGAGGGTGCTGTGCCCTCCCAGACACTCCCGCGCCAGAACCAGTCTGAACAGAGGCAGAGCTACAAGCGGAGGCCGGGGCACTCGGACGCAGAGCGCAGCCTGGGTTCAGTGGAGGAGAAGGCCTACAAACGTCTGAGGACCATGGATGCACCCGAGAAGAAGACTGAGGGAGCAGAGGAAGAGGTACTGGCCAGGAAATGAGACCATTGTCAATCAATTATAAAGATTAATAAAGAAGTCGGCTTAAGCAGGATTTGAACCTCCGACCTCTGCATCAATCACTCTGCATGCTCCACCAATTGAGCTATCCAGGCCTGAGTTATTATCTCTGCCCAATTTGACAATGTCAGAATCTTTTTTAAGATTTGTAACTTGTGAATTTTTAAAAACTGCCCCAACATTCTACCCACCTAACTGTCCTTTTCTTACCTTGATGCGACCCAAATTCTTTCTTTAGGCAATGCCTTTGAGTGGGCATCATAATTCTTGCCTCTCATCCTAGTTCTTGGTAATTTCAAATCAAATCATTTAAAACTTTCCTTGACAGGTCCCAAATGTCCAAGTTTTCTGAAAATTGCTATTGCGTATAAGAGAAAAATCTCTTTCCGTGTTGGTTGGTTCTTTCCAAATTACGTAGTCTCCACTGCTGGATTTTAAACCAACTGGGTCCTCACGAACATTAATTGTTTTCGACTGAATCAGTGTCTAGGCTCTCAAAGTTTGTAGTCTTTGGAATAATATATATTGAAAACAAAATTCTTCCCTATTAAAATAGAACCAGAGCAGTGAGCCAAGTGACCAGGACCAGACCTGGGATCTGTATGAGCACATCAAGGACGCTTCCTCCCACTACGACACCCAAATGATGGACGTGGCATCGGAGGACCAGCTGATGCAGGAACAGGCCACACCCAATCAGGAGGAGGAGGACACGGCTGCTATGGAAACAGATGAAGAAATTAAACCACTTGATGATGAGAAAGAAGAGAAAGATGTGAGTTGAAACTTATGACTGCTGTATGTCTTGAGGTATTTTGGCGTGAAGAGTTTGTTCGAGATCAGGGAGAGGGTAAAACCAATCAGAAGTTTACTTTTCAAATTTTCCTTCTTGACAAAGAATCCGGAGAGAATGGACAAGCTTCCAGGAACTAAGATCAAGTCGGGGGAAAGACAGACTGCTGATGATGAAACAAGTGAGCCAAACTCAGATGTGCCAGAAGGAGATGTAGCAGATGATGGCACAGCCACAAGAGTCAGAGGTATGCTCTCCTTCTGCTTATAACTTGTGCAAGAATTGCTCTTCCATTTGGCTTTCCCACACTGTCTGAACAAATGTTGAAAATGACAAGGTAGTGCTGTATTGCATGTCAAGAGTATACATCATTTTTCTTCATAGATCCGATGGACACTGGTGAAATTCATGCCTCGACCATACACACGACCCTTGACCTGATATCCCAAGATGCAGCACAGCTGCACGTCATGACAACAGACGAGTACGAGGCACTGCGGCAGGAGATGGAGCAAAAACTGAGCCTGCTCAGTCAAAAGCAGGGCACAGCTGACGAAGTACGTTATTAAGAACTGTTCTGGGAAACTAGAACTTTTACCTCTACTTTGTCATCCCTTCAGTGCTGTACTAGAACTTTTGTAGGTTTTCTTGTATGTCTTGGTTTCCTGTGCACAGGATTTTCTTTCTTGAAAGTATGAAAGTATGTTCTGTGCTCTGAAATTAAAACTGGATGTCAGATGTAACACTCTTTTGTGCATATTTTTATATCCACTAGCACACGTCATCTCAAACTTACAGGGGACAAGAACTTGTTTTGTAATGGGCTACAAATTCCTTGTTATTGTAGTTTCATCAATTTATTCCGATTCCAGGAGAGAGAAGCTCAGGAAACCTGGCATCGCTACGAGTCGTTGACCTCTGGCCTAGCTCGTGACCTCTGCGAGCAGCTGAGGCTGGTGCTGGAGCCGACACGAGCTTCCAAGCTCAGGTAAACTATTAACCTGTCCTGGGAGCCAGACTTGTCTTGTGAACAACAAAGTGAGATGTTTTTGGGGTTAGATGTTCTAATCCAGCTGCTGGGCAAGTGCTGTGTCCTCGGGCAAGTTACTTTACCCTAACGTGCCTCTCACCAAGGAATAAAGTATGGTGGCAGAAACTCCCAGGGAATCCCATCCATGAGGAATAGAAATATTCTCAGCTGTCATTTGCTACATATTAAAACCAAAGATAAACATCAATCTTTCAAGCCACATTGGCTCATTGCTTATTTCTTTTTATTTTGACAACAAACTCTTCCTTGACTGCTGCTTCCCTTTCCAGAGGTGACTTCCGCACCGGCAAGCGCATCAACATGCGTAAGGTGATCCCCTACATCGCCAGTGGGTTCCGTAAGGACAAGATCTGGCTGCGGCGAACCAAGCCCAGCAAGAGGCAGTACCAGATACTGCTGGCCGTGGACGATTCGTCGAGCATGGCGGACAATCGATCAAAACAGGTAGACGAACAAACCGCGGCCTTTTTTGTGAACATTTGTCTTGGGAGCGGTGTCATAGTGAGAAGTCAGGTCTTGACTTTTCCTTGTCATTGTTTAGAGCTCAATAGCGAGACTTGGATTTTATCTTTCAAAATTGCCTTTACATCCACTGTTCGTGTTCTAAATTAAAGATGTCAGTGCTCTTTGAGCCTCTTTCTTGCACAACGCAAGAGTCCCTGCCGGTTGCAGAAAAAGAATACACATCATTGATAAGTAGTATGTAGTTGGATTTCAGTGATCTCAGGAAACATTCTTTGGAAAATTGTTCAAGACGTAGTATTATTAACGAATGTTGAGAGATTGAGAAGAACCATTTCCATTTGTATGGGTGTTGTCTTTCATCAATTCACAGCTTGCCTTCGAGTCACTAGCAGTCATTAGTAATGCCCTGACTTGGCTTGAGGCAGGAGAGCTGGCTGTCTGCAGGTGAGCTATGTGACTTTAAAGATCTTTCTCCAAATTTTGCTACGCTTTAGTTAAGTCTCACCCGAAATTTGCCCTTTTTCTGTGATGCATGTAATGTTCAAACATGGCAACTGTAGAGATGCAATTCTTCTAGCTTCTTGGAAATTTAATGTGCAGTGAGATTACAATCACTTCTCTGGCCAATACAGCTAGAGTCACTGCGCGCCCCTGCAGATGTTGACATGGGTTGCAGTCGTTGGTCTACCTTTTTTGGGGCCATAAGTTGGTACAGTCAAGTGCATGCCCCATGCAATCATGATATATGAGGTGTGCGTGCATATTGGTCACAGCAGATATTAAGAGAGCAGGAATGAGCAAAGAATTGCTTGAAGGCTCGAAATGCTGACATTCTGCCCCAGTAATTTATTCCGTCTTCCTCTCTGGCCCTCCTAACACTGTACACGATTCTCCCTCCCTTTAGCTTTGGCGAATCGGTGCAGCTTCTGCACCCGTTCCATGAGCAGTTCACCGACCAATCCGGTGCCAAGATTCTGCGGCAGTTTACGTTCTCCCAGAACAAGACCAAAGTAGCACAGGTCAGTCGAGTTTGTCAATAAATAAGTATGCCAATAAATTTTGGTGACTTTTCATCTGTTGATCCCTGAAACCCAATCCAACTGACTTTCCAATACATGGGTGCATGTACATTTTATGCGACCTAAAGCATCGGGCAGTGAGAGCCAAGTTCAGAATTTATGACTTGGTCTCGTTGCAAGTAGAGCTTTCTCTGTTGGTCATAAGCAGTTAGCTGAAGTTGGTAGGATAAGAACGCAGCGGCTTCATTAAAGCTTTGGAAAGATAGTAATACTGACAGTGCACTTCGTCACTGTTAGCATTCACTTATGGTAATGTTCACTGCTCAGTCTTTGAAAAATACTAATTGACAGCAAGCTGACAAATCAAAGGCAAAAGGGGTCAATCCTCAATTTCTTACGAGAATTGGTTTCTTTCTTCTCCCTGTTTTTGTTTCATTTTTTAGTTGGAGGGGGGTGAATTCACACCCTACACTCACAAAAACACCCATGTCAGCGGATTGTCAGAGTTCTTATTCAAACATTGATTACACTGTCAGAAAGACTACAGAAGTGGCCCTCTATTAAGTCAAAACAGTTGCAGAAATTGATACGATTTCCTTAATTTCCCACCAGAAGTTTGATTTGTTTTGTTGCATTTCTCCCCATCGTGCACTTACAGCTTTTGACCTCTGCAACTGCCAGCATGATCGCCGCCCGATCCCGCCTGCAGATGGGTAGCAGCCACCTGGAGACATCCCAGCTCCTTCTCATTGTCTCAGATGGGCGGGGCCTGTTTCTGGAGGGCGTGGAGGCAGTCAAAGCTGCCGTGCGGCGGGCCAGGGATGCCAACATCTTTTTGGTCTTCGTGGCACTTGACAATCCAGAAAATAAGGTCTGCCACTTTTTTAGTTTAAAGTACTGCCTACAGTGCTAATTAGCACCTGTTGGTGAACCTGTATCAAAGCAGTGAAATGACTTCAGTCAAATAGATATACATTTCAAGGGAAGTTCTCGGGCGTTAAGAAGTTTTCAGCAATGCTGACATCATGATAACAAAACGGTAATGCAGAGTATTAAAATGGAATGGCCTTTATGAAATGAAGTCTGACATAAAGAGAACAAGAAGTTTGCAGTAGCCTGCTGATTACAGATACTAGAATTTTTCCTGTGGATGGTTGGCATGGCTACCATCTTGCAGACCAGTGCTTTTGTTCCACAGGGTATGCACAGAGGAGGTTTCCCTATGGAACAAAGAAATGCCCTGCAAGATGGCTGCCATGTAAAGCCTCTGTTGCCTGATTCAAAGTTTGCTGTGAAACTGGGGTATAGTTGCTTGATCGCTGGCAGGGGCAGTTGCTGGGTTACTTTCCGGCCACTATCAGGCCACCGAAGCCCTTTTGCCCGAGTCTTTAATACACTAGTAATTTTTCATTTGAAATGTAGGATTCCATTCTGGACATCAAGGTGCCCATCTTCGGCGGTCCGGGCCAGCTACCTCAGATCAACTCTTACATGGAACACTTCCCGTTTCCATTCTACATCATCCTGAAGGACATCAATGCCATGCCGGAGGTTCTCAGTGATGCCCTGAGACAGTGGTTTGAGCTGGTCACGGCCGGCGACATCCACTATTAAAAGGTGTCAGCCATGAATGAGGAGATCATATCCTTAATGGCCGAAGGACGAAGCCTGTTGATTGGCACGTAGACATCAGCTGTTCTCATTACACTGAAGGACACAGCACTCTGTACAAGCAATTACTTCAGTTATTTTGTGCCTAGGCTTTATATTTTAAGAGGCAAAGGCAACACAAAGATAACCATGGTAAGAGAAAACATTTCAATGTCTTGAAGATGTACTTCAAGTAGATGCTATGTTATGGACAGCTTGGGGTTTCGTATCGTCCACAGAGATATTTTTTGTCCAACTACCGTCTAACAAACTTTTTTATGGTCACTAAGCAATATTTTAGGCCTTTCTTAAGATGCAATTTTCGGATGGTAAGGCCATCATCTCGGAAGCCACAATGACTTCTTTTCAGTCATTTTGTTTTCTTAAAGATTCACTGGAATTTATCAGAAAACCTTTTAGATAGAATCATTTTATTTTTTTTTGTCATTATTTGATTGATATTGGTTCAGAGGCCAAGTTAATCCATGGAATGGTATTTTTGTTTTAAAATAATCAATGCTCTGGAAAAATGTAGAAAAAGTTCGGGCCTCCTGACAATTGAGGAAAATGCAATTGCAATATCTCTTTGCTTAAACAAGATAAATCTGCAAGGGTTTATGTTGCAATATTTAAACTTTAATCTCAATTACACGTGTACATACTTTTGACAGCCTGTTGTTCAGAAAAATCTCTGAAACCCAGTTTTATTAGAGGCTAAGCCTTGCATATTTTGACCCACAATTTTTCATCAAAATTAGGATCTACAGGCTTCATAGAGGACAAACACATATTTCTTTTCACTT